GTCTTATATATTTTAACATCTAACTCTTTAAAAATGCCTTATATTTTTAACAGAGGGAGTATCATTTTGTTATTTGTAAATTTTAAAAATGTGAGTGCTATTTTTATCATTTTCTTCATTACTAACACTCTGCGTACACACCTTGATATTATGACCACATTTAATTTGAATTAGTATCCATGTATATGTGTGTCTAGAAAATATATTATTGCACATTATGAATAGTGTAATTTATTTATCTAATTTTACGAATGGAAGAATACTAGTTTAATTTTAAAACAAAACCCTATTTTTTTCATAAAAGTTGCAGTGATTTGAACCGAACGTTTAAGCTGGGGCATTTATATTAGCTGCAAAGCTTTCCATTGTGTTGGTTAAGAAAAAAATCCATCCACTGATATTACGTTTAATTTCAAAATATGAAGGCCTCAATATCTGTATATTCACACATGCCAGTAAATTGGTTAAAATTAGTTAAACTAATTAAATTAAATTTATAGGAAATCATAATTTTTCTCATATTTATTACCCTTAATTAATGGTTCATACTTTTTCTTAAATGCCAAATTTCTCTATCATTGTATTTCTCTAATCACAAATTTATTGAGAGGCGTTTCTTTGTTTGTTTGTTTGTTTTGTTTTTGTTTTTTTTTTTTTGTCTGATTGCGAGGCGTTTCAAGAAAACAGACATTCAATAATCAAAGTTTGACTTCTATTTTGAATCACAAAAATACTCAAACAAATATATTATACTCCATCCAGTCTTTCATTATAAAGAAAACTTAATTAACTTCACAATTATTAAGAAATTATTTTTAAGAAATTATAGTTATGTCCTTATAATTAATAATCATATTAAAATATTATCTAGGTACTCAAACCCTAACGAATAAAGGTATAAAATTGAAAAAAATTACTCTAATTTTATCTCATATTAGGGATTAAAAAGATTTTAAAATTTCTCTAATATATATATATATATATATATTAAGAACCATAGGGAGTATTTAAGATCGAAAGTGATATATTATAAATTTCATTTAAAGTTTATCTAACTCTGGAGTTTCTGTGTAGAGGAAATTAATGGGAGGTTGACGGTGGGAAGAAGAAGATAAAGGGGGAATCTATATTTTCATATTGTCTCTCAATGAAATCCTTTTAAAAATATATCTCATGTTGATTTTTTATTTTTTTCCATTCAGGGATATTTTTTTGCCAGCTATGGATATTTTGTCTTTTGCTATATATCTTAAAAATTCCATTCCATTAGTTAAATACAAATACTGGATCCATTTATTTTTAGAAGTAAACTCTCTGAAGTTGAGATTGATAAAATTCTGTAAATTCTTTAATATTTTTAATATTTTATTATCTTTTATAAAATATAATATATTTTATCTTTTTTAAAAAATAAAATTCATGAAATGTAGGAATTCTTAATTTCAGAGTTTACCTATTTAATTTTATTCGTTCAACAAATCCTTCCTGCCTATAAACGTGACCTAATAAACTTTTTCTGTTTACTTTTTATTATTAAAAAAGAAAACTAGAACATGAAGACAGCTTTCTTTGTTTTAACATTCACTGTCAACCAAGATCTAATAAGTTATTTCCTTTATTTGAGATGAGATCTGAACAACTTAACCGTTAAATTTGGATAGTCTAAAATTAAGTATTTTTTTCATTTTCAATTTCTTAAGTCATTGTTCAATACATTTGTTATTTTTTTAATGTAAGAATACTAATGTGTCACATTTTTTATTCCCAAAATTAATTGCTTCTTTAGATAAATTCCTATTCATTATGCCATACTTTCGTTTACAGTCTAAATTATCAATTGATTTGAATCACAGAATCACCAATTGAAAATGACACATTAATATAAAGCGTCAAGCAGGTGTAACATGCATACACTATAAAAAAATTAACTTTTAACAGCGACAAAAAGTTACCACAATGTCGTCGTGAGAGCTCTTGTCACTGATTCAATCTGTGACGATAATAAAAGTTACCGCTAAAAATTAAGAATCGGCGATGACAAATGTCGCCGCAGAAAAGAAAATTTGTCGCAACCAAACGATAGTCTCCACTAAAAATTAAAAATCAATGGTGACATTTTATCAACGTAAAAACCGCATATCAATGGTGACTATTTTGTCACCACTGAATGTTAAGTATCAATGGTGACATTTGTCGCCACAGAAGCTACCAATTAGCGGTGACTTTTTTGTCGCTGCTGAAAAGTAATGTTGATTCATAGTCGCTGTTGAAAAATAATGTTGATTCATTTACACACATGGCACCACATCACCATCCACGTGGCACCCCACCTCGCACCATGTGGTGCCATGTCATCCTCCACTTGTCACCCTCACCTCACACCATGTGGCACCATATCACTCTCCATGTGTCGCTCTCTCCACACGCCATGTGTCATCATGTCACCAATTTATATTTCCATTCTGAAAGTTGTTTCCTCCAAGGTTTGAACTCATGACATATTCTTTTTGTGTCCAACTATTTTGCCACTGAGCTGGAATAAACTTGTAGTCTATTATTGCATAATTAAATACACACACACATATTGTTAAACTATACAAACACACATATATATTAAATATTAAATATTATAAGATATCATTACTATCCTTACATACTTCAATTTAATTCTTTTAATTTATGACATTACAAATTATATTATTTATTTTGTTTAAAGTAAACTATAAATATAATTGATACAATATCATTTGTATTATTTATTTTAATTTTTTTTACTTGTTGAGGTTGTTATATTATTTATTTTAATATTCATATTTATAATTATAATATAAAAAAATATCTAAGAATAAATAGTAAAAATACGGATGATTATGTATTAGTTTATAATTATTTATGTTTCTAAACTAGCATCAAGCCTTAAAGTTACTAGTGTTAAATGTAGAATTTAAATTAAAAAATTAGATTAGATGAAATATCATTTTGTGAATAAATAAATTTAAGTATTACATGTTTAATTATTATAAACAAATAGTGTCATTGACTTCTACATTAATCCAATAACTTATGCTTTCTCTCTTTTATCTTCTATCTTGAATATTAAGATTTTTTACTTATTAGTTATAATTTTAAATTTAATTTGTTTTAGTTATTAATTAGTCAAAAAATATTTATTAAAAATTTCATGCTTATTTTGGCCATTAAACATCTCAACTAGCTTTTGAATAAAATTATCCAAATAAATTTTAGTTTATCTAACAGACTTCTAAAAAAAAACATATCCAAACATCAATCATATTACATTTACTGACTTTTCTTCTAACCTTAGTTTGCTAACATCGATTGACTCTTAACCTTAGTTGTAATTTTTTTAATACAAACACACATGTAAAATAATATAATTTGACTTAATTCTTTACTTTTGCTCATTAGCATTAAATAATACCTTAACTTTATCTTAAAGTTATAATCTAACCATAGAATATATTAAATAAAAACTCATTATGTTATTTTATATATTCATTATAAAATTACAATAATACAACAAAATTAATGTCTTAAAATCTTAAATATTAGATAAATAAAAAAAATTAAGATGATAATACAAAATCAAACTTTTAGTGGTGACATTCAAAGTCGCCGCTAAAAGTCTCATTTTCAGCAGCGATACTAAAAAATCGCTGCTAATTCTCAACTTTCAATGGCGACTTGTATGTCGTCATTGAAACTTACAACATAATATTTTAAAAAAAAATTATAACATATTTTAAAATGTATTGACAATCAACGGTGACACTAAAAAGTTACTATTGATTCTCAACTTTTAGTGGCGACTTGTATGTCGCCATTGGAACTTACAACATAAGTTTTTTTAAAAAATTATAACATATTCTAAAATGTGTTGACAATCAACAGTGACACTAAAAAATTGCCGCTAATTCTCAACTTTCAACAACGACTTGTATATCACCGCTGAAACTTACAACATAAGTTTTTTAAAAAAATTATAACATATTTTAAAATGTATTGACAATCAGCGGCGACACTAAAAAGTCATCATTGATTCTCAACTTTCAGCGGCGACTTGTATGTCATCGCTGAAACTTACAACATAAGTTTTTTAAAAAAATTATAATACATTTAAAAATATGTTGACAATCAACAGAGACACTAAAAAGTCACCACTGATTCTTAACTTTCAGCAGTGACTCATATATTGCCACTAAAACTTACAATATAAGTTTTTTTAAAAAATTATAACATATTTTAAAATATGTTGACAATCAGTGGTGATATTGTAAAAGTCGCTGATTCTCAACTTTCAGTGGCAACAGTAAAAGCTGTTGCTGAAAGTGTGACTTTCTGTGACGACATGCACTTGTCATTGTTGAAAGTTTGAAAATCAGCGGCGACTATATCTTATCACCGTAGAAAGTCACACTTTTAGCAGCGGCTTTTACTGTAGCCGCTGAAATTCTTTTTTTTTTTTGTAGTGATATATACCTTGCAATATCATTTAATCCATTCCATGAAAAATTAAACAAAAAACCTTCATATAATAAAATCATATATTACAGAAAATCTAAATTCTTGATGCGTACTACAGAGAGACAGATGGAGTAAAGCCTCTTGAAATTAATTGTCTACAGGCACTAATTTAATTTTTTTTTATGCCCAAGATCACTTTTCTCTCGTATCTCTCTCTCTAGAGCATTCTACATGAATGTATTTAATTCTATAGATGTAGGAGATCCCAATCAACCCCCAAAAAAAAAAAAAACCTTACATGCAATTATTTTTAAGAGAATACAAGAGGTAAAAAATTTTGGAGTAAAAAGGATTAATTAGATTTATGAGTTCATTGATAAAATCATAACCCATAATTGCTAAACGTTCTATGGGAGGTTGCATAAGATAGAATTTTAGTTTGATGGTTAAAAAAATTCGCATTACATACCAGCCAATCAGTACAGGTATTAGTTTTTCTGAAAACACAGTCATAAATAAAATACCTACTACTCTTGCACAATCATTTTTGTTATATATTCTACAACCCTATAGGTAGAGTGTTACAAACACATTTCTTTTTAGAGAGAATCATACATCAGTCGCATACAATACATTTAAATACCACAAGATCCATTAACAAACTTAGGAAACGAAATTAATACTAAGTTGTCAATTAATTTTGTAATATTTAAATGTATTGTGAGAGAACTCAAAAGTAATTCTCCTTTCCTTTTAACGCTACAGGCTTCCAGAAGCAACAGTAGCATTTTGTTCATTGGAAAATGTGTTGATAGGGTTTTGGGCCCCACCAAGTGTACACTTAGCAGAGGGAACAAAACTTGCCACAAAGTCATCAATATTCTTATTTGAGCTTCCACCTTCATCACAAGCCTTAGCAGCAAGAGATTTCCATTTCATGGCATTCCTCTTCATCTCTTTGCCTCTTTCACTCTGCATCACTTCCTGTATGCATTTCTTCACTGTTTCTCTTCTCACAATCCCTTTCTCATCAGCCTCAGCTTTCACTCCCATCTTCCACACATCTTTTATGTACTTTGCATTTGTGGGTTGGTCTGTCCACTGAGGAACTGCCACCATTGGAACTCCTAAGCTCACAGCTTCCAATGTTGAGTTCCATCCACAATGTGTCACAAAGCAACCCACAGCTTCATGATCCAGCACTTGCAGTTGAGGACACCATGTGATCACCAAACCCTGTTTGTTCTGTGAAATGTCCAAAAAGTTCTTGGGAAGCTTAGGTTTCTCTGGTTCTCTAACTATCCACAAGAAGTAGCTCTCACTGTCCTTCAAGCCCCATGCTAGTTCCTCCATTTGATCATTGTTTAATGATGCTATGCTGCCAAAGGAGACATAAACTACAGACCCAGCTGGCTTGTCTCCTAACCAATTCAAACAAACATCGTTTTCTTCTTTGTAAAAGCTAAGACCGTAGGCGTTGTCATCTTTGAGTCTCTTGTCTAAGAACATTGATGGTATGGTTGGTCCTATAGTCCTCAGAGGGAAGATTTTTGATTGCCAATCAGCAACCTAAGATGGATCACAAAACATAAATGAACAACTTTTTATTAAAGAAGAATGATATATGTAATTTCAGGAAAAAAAAGAGAATGATATTTATTTGCATGAATAAAAAGTTTAGGTAAATTGAGTCCCAAGAGATTCATTAAGGTTAAAGCATGCCTTTTTTAAAAAAAAAAAACACTTACAAAGATACTTACAGATCATTCACCAATAAGATTTTCTTACATCAGCAATAGGATTTAATCTCACGATCTTATAAGTTATGGGTCAAATTCTTACAAGAACTAACATTTGTTGGTAAAGAATGATATATTTAATCACCCATCATATGTGTTATGATGTTCTCCTTGGAAATCAAAATTGGGTTAAAGGACAAATTTTTCGGGAAATTTTTCATTAGGAGCAACTATTATCCTTAACTTTTGATTTGATCAATGTTACCTTAAAAGTTTCAAAAATGGTGTAATGTCACGCCTACAGTAATGGTTGATTGTTATTTTAAATGTTAAAGGGAAATTTTGCCCCAAAAGTTTGTCTAAATGAGTAATTGGTTTGTAATTGGTGTAATGTGTTTAAATGATAAACTTTTAAATCACAAGAAGGATTTAACAAACTTGTTGTAACCCAAAAATAAGAGAAGATTTTAGGTTGAATTATATTGAATGTCTCTGACTCAAAATCCATATGTATGTTTGAAAAAGTCTGTATGTAAAGGCAAGTATGAACTTTAAAAGGAAGTATGTGGAGCTTGAGGTAGAGTTTGATTTTGTGTCCAAACAACCTTAGGTAAGACCTTTTGTCAAAATTCAGAAATTTGAACTATTTTTTACAATGATAATGGGTTATTAGATTTTTCTTTTTTAATTTGAACATTGATAATCCAAAAACATTGTGCTAATAGAAAGTTTGGGATACTAATTACTATTTTAAAAAATTTAGGACAAAATTACTCTTTAGGCCCAGTCAAAATTCTCAACTAATAATCAATATTAGTCAACCATTATTGTAAAGTTACATTACACCTAAAAGTTAAGGATACTAGTTTCTCCTGGTAAAAATCTTCTATAGCAAATTTTTCCTTTAACTCATTAAAATAACAGGGTCATATTCCTAATTAAATAAAGAAAGCTTCTCTGATATTGATGAATTATACAAGAAAACAATTAAATGTGGAAATCAGATCAGATCTACACTGTAGTCCTCAAATGTGACTTATCAGTTGATTCTTTTAAGTGTTTGTATTGCTTTTTGATGGAATTCTTTTATTTTATATCAATTTAGTATCGATCACTTGCTTCAGTGAATAACCTTTAGAAGTTAAAGTATTCATTCACAAAAAACCTTTAGAAGCTTTCCACACAGATAAATATATGTAGTAAATGCTATACCTAATAACTATACAAATAAAAGATATTATCAAATATTACTGACCTGTGGCTCAAGCTCATAAAAGGAATTACAAAGAACCCAATCTGCTTTCTCAATATCAGAGAACTGATTCACAACCATTTTTGAGAAAGCTGGGTAAAGTCCCGAAGCATCCAAGAAAGATGGCAAGTCGGACATAGCAAATGTTGGCAACGCAGGAAGTGAAATCTCAGACTGATGATCATCAGTCTGAGGAATCTTTTTCAAGTTTCCTTGACAAGCATGATAATATATACTATTCACTGAACAAGATTGGGTGAAAAAAGCAGCTCCAATAACCTCAAACTTCTTGGCAACCTCAAGAGCCCAAGGCAAGAAAGAATCATACACAACACAATCAACTGAACTACTTAGTGTGAGCTTCTGTAGAAGTTGTTCAAAAGACTTTGGCCCTACGTCCCAGAAACGATCGATGTAGGCTTGATCGCTGCCAGCTTCTTCAAACCCTCCATGGTCAAAGCCATCAGAGATGCTCTCAAGAGCCATGGAGGTTAAGCAGTGCTGATCTAATTTTAGGGTTTTGCGGAGGAAGCGAGTGGCGACTAGCGTGACTCTCACACCCTTATGATCCAAACGCTTTGAAAACTGAAGCATAGGGTTTATGTGACCTTGAGCTGGATAAAGCAGTACCAAGCAATGAGGTCTTCTGATGATTTGCCTGCCGTCTTCCATTATTTCTCTGTAAAGCTTGCTGGAAATACTACTCTCAGTTATTGTGTGTGTTGGTGTGTGAGTCGTGAGTGGTTGAATTGGATGTATTTATAAATAGGTGTGGAACCAGCTTTGAATTTTGAGGGGCCCAAACTTTCTTGGGATTGGTTTCTTTGCTCGTTATAGTTATGAGCACCGTGGTACTCATCATTGTGAGAAAATTTAGACTATTCATATTTTGATTTAAACGGTTCAGATTTAAAATACCATTATATATTTTTATTTTACATTTATTAAAATAAAAATTAATGAAAATTATAAAATAATTTTAATAATTTTTTATTTTTAATATGATTTAGATTTAATTTGAAAGACCCAATTTAATATTAAGAGTTTTATAATTGATATGCATTGAGTATCTAGTTCTGGACTATGCAAAGTACATTTAAATAGTCAATGGACATCAATTATAAAACCCTTAATATTAAATTAGACTCTTTAAATTAAATTTAATTCATATTAAAAAAATTTATTGAAATTATTTTATAATTTTTTTAATAAATATAAAATATAATAATACTTTAAATCTGAATCATTCAGATCAAAATTTGAATGATTCAGATCTCATCACAGCGCTAAGCACCACGATGTTTATTACTGTGTTGAGCACTGAAACCAATTCCAACTTTCTTGTTCTTTGCTTCAAATTTTACCATTTCAAAAAATTATGAATATATCATCAAAAAATTATACTATTCATGGATCATTGATACGCTACCTCTCATTACCGAATCCCAACGTTTTCGTTAATTCGAATTCGAACTCATATTATTTCTACTGCATATAATAACATTTGTTTTTTCAAAGGCATTAAACAAAATAACAGTTTCACAAAACTCAATAAAATAAAATTATTACAATAAACGATAACGGCTCATATATAAATGTTAATTTGTCATAACAATGTTTTACTACAGATTAATGACAGATAACCTTTTTTTTTTTTATTATTAGCAAAGATTAATAACAGATAACCTAATACCACAAATTCAGACCAAGTCAAACACATGCCTGAAAACTATGGGGTAAAATTGGTATTGTTGGTGTTGTTATTTACCGTTGCGCATCTCAACTTATGCTCACTGACATGTGCTTCGACACCCAATATAATTTTGTTTACAAACATGTCATCTAACCCACAGCCTCAACACCCCTGTATTGGGTTCACCTCAGCCACCAATTTGGATCACCATGTTGTATGATTCAGCTCATCATCATTATATATAGAATAAATTTTTCTAAAAATCACCGAATCATTTGTTCATGCGTTCTGGATAGAATGCTTAAACAAACCGAGCTGTAAACAATTGTATTCTATAACCACCTTAAAATAAGAGAAAATTTTAGATACACCCAATGTGGCACGCCATTTATGATTTGTCCAATTAGAATGATTTAACTCATCTAAATTAAATCTTATGCATTTTCATTTTTCTACTATCATTAATGTTAGAATTAATTTACATTTAATACTATCTAAATGTCATGTTTTTATTGAACAGATCACAAATGACATGATGTACTTAGTCAACTTAAGAATTTCTCTTAAAATAATTCATTCATTTTTAAAATGCAAATAAATACCTGTAATAACCCAAATTTTTTTTTTTGAAAAATTAAAAGTTAAAATTAAAATTAAAATTAAAAAATACATAATATTGTGTTTAAGTGTATTTATATTAATTTTGGAATAAATTAACAAGAAGAAGAGTTTGTCTAGTGGCAATTATATTGCTACTTATTTAATAGGTCATGAGTTTGAATCTTATGAGGCCAAGAGTGCAAATTTTCTATATTTTCTCTTTTGCTTCAGCCTATTGACAAAATTACAATAATGCCCTTCTGGAAAAAAAAAAGACAGAGACAGAGACCTAAACGTGTGGCTTCTTCTCTCATATTTTCCTTTTCCCTGTCGAAAAGTCCAGAAACAATGGAGAGAGATAGGGAGCTTCGATTTCCTCCAGTCCACTGTCATCTCTTCCCTTTTTCTGTCGTCCTCCACTATATTTGATCGCGCGGTGAAAGTGGAGACTCGGCATCTCTATGTGATACCCAGGTTGTCCGCCGTACTTCCCTGTCTCTACTTGTTTTCTTTGTTGCTTCTCTGTTCTCGCTGTTCACGTACACGCAGCTGGGGTCCGAGAATCAGGTCGTCGGAGCTGGTAGGGTTGTTCGCGAGCTCATCTCTGTTTGATCTAGTGCTGTGATTCTGTTTTCTTCCTTTCGTGTGTACCCTGTCTCTGATTCGTTCTCTATGCAGCTCGTGATTTTTTTTTCTTCTTCTATTATTACTGTGGTTGAGTGCATCTGGTCCTTTAGCCTGCTTGTGCGTTTCTGAAGAGAGAAAGAGGAGTGGTCTGCCATTGGTTGAAGCTGGAAATAGGAGAACTCCTCTCCCTGTTCTGTCGGCTTCTTCTCGTTCTCTCCCTCCTCTGTTATTGTTGGTACTTAAGGTGAGGATTTTTGAACTCTTCTTGATAATTTAGTGCAAGAAAGTGTGTCTGAATGAATGATTGAAATTGAAATTTTTTTTTCTAAGTTACTGAAATTTGTGTAGTGGAAGTATGATTATGATAAGTATGGTTAGAGTTTGAGTCAAGTTAATTTTGTTTGAACTAGATGATGTTAAGAAGCGGTTAGGATGAGTTTGAAATAAAAAAACTTTGACATGGAATTTGACAGTTAGTGACCATGAAATGTTTGTTAAAATGCTTGTGAAAAGGAGTTATTTTATTGTATATTTACTAGAATATCAATAAGTTTCTTGAAAAACTTAATTGGTTGGGGTGCTATTATCTTATGAGTTTAACTTGGAAATGGTAAAAAGAGATATGTGAGTAGGTATTTTTTTTCTTCTACAACTTTGTTGGATCTCGCAAGAGACATGAATTGGCTTGGGTGTTACTCATTTGTAAATTTGAATCGAATATTGTAAAGACATTTATCTATGTTATTGATAGATTTATTGGATTCTTGAGTTATGGTTGAGAATTTATAAATTACAGTGTTGTGTTATGATTCAATTTTAGGGTGTATATTAGGTGTTTGATGTAACGTTCACTAAAGGAATTATGAAGCAATTGAAAGATTAAATGTAACACACACACACAAAATTGGATGTGTGTGTTATAGAGTTTGAAAATAGAAGTATACTCAATATGTTAGATAAGGGGAGTATTCATATGAAGTAACTGTGAAATTAGAGAAGCTTTTAAGATATGAATTTTGGTGTCTTTGAATAATTACTATTGTAGTTGATTAGAGTTATTTTTGTTGACTTAAATTTCGCATGTATATAAATATGTTCATATAGGGTGTCTAGAGGAAGAGGATCTTGATAAAAGTGATAAGGAGTAAGCTATAGAGGTTGGAAAGGCTTATCAGGTAAGTGGATAGCGTCCCAACTGATTATTTTTAATCAAAATTTCTTTTACTGGAATATTACTTTGTTTTGGAAATCATTTTAATAGCATTAATGCAATTATTGGATATTTGTTGATTAACTTTACTTTATTTTGAAAAATTAGCTTTATCAAATTTGAAATGTTATTTGATCAATTAAATTAAGTTTGAACTTTGATTATGAGAATTTTATTTTATCAAATATTGGATTGATACAAAGAATGATTCATGCGAGTTCGACTTTGAAATTTTGATTATTCGATAAATGCAAGCATGAGCATTGGATATGAAATTTTATTCTGGCAAGTTTTCATGCTTAAAAGTATTCATGCGAGTTTGATTTTGAGAACGAGAATTGTATCATGAAAGCGATGATTTTCTCGCATGTTTGAAAATAGTTTTAAAAAAAGGGGACTTTATACGAAACACTAGTTGCTAACGGCAGTTCCGTTAGCCCTTGGCGCGCCATGGTACACCTAGCTAGCAGAATGTTTATAGGAGGTGCTAGCCCCGTGCGATGGCCAACGCACGTGGAATGGAGGGATGGTTATTCGTGAGCATCGTACTCACGTTTGTTTCGTGGCTTCAAGCCGCGTTTGGTTACCATGACCCTCGTGGACTGTGTGTCCACGTTTGTTTCGTGGCTTCGGCTGCATTTGGTTATTTACCCTCGTGGACTGAGTGTCCACGTTTGTTTTTGTGGCATAAGCCGCGTTTGGTTAGTTACCCTCGTGGATTATGTGTCCACGTTTGTTAATTGTTCTAATAAGTCCCTATATTTATGAATCCAATCGTTTGATGATTTCATATTCTATTGGTTTTTATTTAGTAATTTGTTTATAAATATTTATTTCATTTATGTGCTTTCTTGAAATCAAGTGATAATATCATTTTCTATGATAGTTCAATGATTTGAGATTTTATTTGAAATTTATAGAGCCATTTTATTATGAAGTTTATAAAATTTTTATGAAAATTTTGTCTATTTAACTTACATAACTATTTCAAACTTTTCATTTTATTTATGTTCTATTATTTATTGTTGGGACGTTATTCACTGGAAAAGATATTTTGGTCTCAGATGGTATAGTTGAACTCGTGACTCGAGATATCCACTGAGGAGTTTTATTGCTGAATTGAAGCAGAAGAATTATTTTAATCAAATCCTAATTTGATGAAAAATTTGAACTTATACCTACGTTGGCGTCTGGCCTTAGGTGCTCCACATAGACTACAGGTAGGAGCCTTATATTTCTTTTAAAGTTGAATATTTGAATTAATATTGTAACAATTTCTAATTACTCTATTAGTGTGTTTAACGTATTAATTTCAGAGTTTATTCGATCAAGGCTTAAGGGATATGAGTTTTGTGCCTATATCCCGTGCCGGTCACACCTGATTTTTGGGGCGTGACAATACCCATTAACATTTACAACCAACGGGTGTATGAATTAGGTAGGTCATCCTGCTCTTGATGTTATAGCGTCATTTAAATGGAAAAAGATACATAGCGTGAATAAATACTTAAACTAACTCATTTGTAACAGTAACTTATAGCATTAAAGATACTATAAATATTTTCCGCAGTGATGCACTGAACTGACAACAATTAAATAACAAGGTTACTTAAATTTGGATGAAACAACTATTATTCATCAAAAAATTTTTAAAAGCTTGTCGGTGTGTATATCATGTTGACTGACCCAAAAAAATACTACATCCATTACTATATATAAGATATCTTTAACTAAATCACGCAAATTAATAAAAATTAGTTCTCTAATTAAAAGAACAGCAATATTTTAATTTTATCCCTAATTATTGTAAATAAAAATAAATTTTTTTTCAAAATAAATTAATAAGGGTACTTATATTTTTTCTTTTCAATTTAATAAGGGTATAATGGTTCATTCATTAAAAAATATGTTAACAACTCTTATATTTAAAGACAAAAAACAGTTTTAAAAAACTTTTTATATATAAAGACAGAAGGAGTATTATATACTAGTATTAACAACTAATTTAGGCACATTCAAGCCATGATTACTAGCTATGGTGAGTCATAACATAGGATAATATTATAGTTTTAATCATATATATTACTATGTACGGCTGGGTGGTTTTAACTAATTTGATTATAACTATTTTATTTTTTTATTTTATTCTCTTAACAAAAAAATGTTATAACTTTAATTCTGCTGAAGAACCTTTTTAGTCCCTTTTCCTAACTATCTTTATTGTCATTCTTATCAATTTTTCCAAAAATAATTAGAAATTTGTTATGGAAATTTGTGGTGAAATTAAAAAGATGATGAGAAGCAAAATATACACAAGATATCAAAAAAGGGAGCTTTTGCATATAAAACCCATATTATAGGATCAAATTAAGCAAATATCTCAATATTTATTATATTTTACATTATGGCCGGTTTATTATATTTATCAATGATATATCATTAGATATAAATGATAAATCCTCTATAAATTTTTAAATTTTTTATAATAAACTCTTTGTATATCAATGATAAACTCCTTGTATATTAATATGAACTAACCATACTCCTAAATTTTTCAAAATTTGATTTATATTTTTTGGGTAGAAAATTTTTTTTGGACTAATGAACCAATTTATCAAAAAAAAAAATCGTTGGGACCAAAAACTGAGGGACTGTTACATTTTTAATTAGTGAAATTTGGGAAATTATGTTGGAAGACCACGAAAGAGTGATATTTATTTATTTATTTATTTATTTCAATTAAAGTTGTGAAAAAGTGTTGCTTTTTAGTGTTTAGGGACGCGTTTGCGTAAAAATCAACTTCAAAAAAACCCAACTAGAAGTTTAGTTACCAACTGTTTAGCAATCTGTTTCAAAAACAGTTTTCTGTTCTTTAATATTTTAAAGAATAAAAAATCAAATATTATTTTGAAGAATCAAAAAATGAAAACATATGTTAGATTTCTGGAATTATTGTTCTAAACAATAAGAGAAAATGTAAAAAACACATGTTTTCATTATTTTTTATTCTCAAGACATATTCTACTTTAAAACATTAATTTTTAGAACAATAAAATAAAAACAGTTTTAAACAAGCTCTAATATTTTTTTAATTTTATTTATAAGTTGCTTTGAATATATTTCACTGAAATTAAAGAAAATTTTAAATTATATTAATTATGTCTTAAAATTTAATAACTTTTCACCTCAACCTTTTAATAAGGACGAGAGGAACAATTTTAAATAATTTTTTTTACATCAAATAAAGGGAGAAAGGCAAAGATTAACATAGAAAATAATAAAGAGTTTTATAAATAGGATCAAAATTAATCTTTTTTTTTACCTTATAAATAAAACAGGAGAAATAATAAATAGAACCAAGAGTATGGAAGTACTATTATTATAATTATCAATAACAACAACAACAACAATAATAATTTGGTTGTATTTAGAGCTTCTTTGTACTAATAATATGATTCTTCATGATAAATATTAGTTTATAGCCAATGATCTTTTAGTTTAGGGACATGTAAATTCTCTTATAAGTAGAAAGTCGTGAATTCAATCTTGCTCCCAATTTTAGGCCATTAGTGATTATCCCTTCAATTCAACAATAAAAAATCAATATTAGTTTACATAGTGCCCATGATAAAAAGAATATTCATGATAAAAAGAATATTAATTATCATATAGTGTCGTTTTGTAAGGAGGCCCATGATAAAAAAGAATATTAATTATCATATAGTGTCGTTTTGTAAGGGGGGCTACATGTGTAAGAGAAGAATGCCACTACACCATTGTCTGGCTGGGCGTCCGTTGGACTTTTTTATTTTTTATTTTTTTCCTAATAGCCATTCCTAAGAGAGGGGGCTATATAAATGTTAAAATGTCCAAGTTATATTGATATGATATGAAAAAGACTTAAATATTTAGTTTCATATATAAATGTTCATTGCAAAATTACAAAATCTACAATCTTTGTTAAAATGTCCACTTTATCCTCAATATCTCAGGTGAAAAGGACAATATTTGCCCCCAGTATAATTGCCCCTTCTCCTCCTCCCTGATCTGCAAGGCTGCATCTTGGGATCTGATCCAAACTCTCCCTACTTCTCCATAGTCTAATTTCAAAAATTTTACAATACTTCAAATTTACTCGTTTTTTTTATCAGAGGCAATCATATTTAAAATATAATTGAACAATAAATGTAAGCAAATCACCTTAAATGGAGTTTGGAATGAGAGTATTGCCGCGGGTAAAAAGTGATATTTAACATAGGTCAAAGAAGTCATTAAAGATATATATATATATATATATATCTTATTTAATTAAAAACACATATGTTAAGTATGTTATATTGATATGATATGAAAAAGAATTAAATATTTAGTTTCATATATAATATACCTTTTCCATTCAAATTAAAACAAGTATATTTAAAGGACTAAAGGTATTAAAAATAATATTAATATCAAAAGTTTATTGTGGAATAAATAATATATAAAATATTCATATGTTTTGATTTAATTGAAACATGTACTTTGAATATATAAAGTTAATTATATAATTTTTTCTAATAGAAAAAGACTCAGGAATTACAGCTTGGAAATCAAGGAGCAATTAGTATTTTTTTCAAAAAATATTCCTGATCAAGAATAAAAAGATTTAGTCCATGCACGTTGAAAACATGCTAGGCATTAATTGGGAATAAAAGTGAAAAGGGGAAAAAAGTTAAGACATAAAATATAATTGTTCAAGCTATTTTGCTAATAAGAAAAATAGTTAAAAATATTTTATTCAAATGTATGAGTTACTTCCTAATGAATGTTAAATGAGTAGTTGTTAAATGTTAAATTAGACATAAATAATTTTATTTTATACTCCCTCCCTTGATCCCTTCATTATATTTGTCTTTTTAAGAAAAGAATTGTTTCATATTACAAGTTTTTTAAGAAAAATTAAAAAATCTTGTTTTATCATTAGAGTAATGTACTATTTATTATTATAATATTATAGAGGCATTAAATGAGGAATAAATCTGGCAAAATATGCTATAAAGCATCCAGCGTTCTAACCAACAGAAGTTATTATATCTTTATAAATCACATAATGATATATTCCTTCCGTTCAAAAATATAAGATATTTTTAATCAAATCTCATCTCTTAATAAAATAGTTACTTACTTTTTAATTAATTTTATTTTTTTAAATTTATCCTTATTAAATACCCTACAAGAAATATAAAGTCATTATTAATAAGGACACTTTTAAAAAAAAGCAATAATTATACCTCAAAAGATTAAAAATGCCTTATATTTTTTAACATCCACCTCCTTAAAAAATGTCTTATATTGTTTAATAGAGGGACTATGAATTAAGTTTTTCAATATTATTCCTTTTAAAAGTTATTAATTACAGAAAAAATGTAATAAAAAATTGAAACTTTTCTATTTAATTAAATACTGATAAAATTAAAATTTTATTTTATTTTCAGATAAAATTAATAATTTAACTATGTCTTTTTAATTTCAAGGTATGGTTAGAAGTGCTTTACAATAAACATCAAATGAAATATATTTTTACATATATTTACTATACTTCATAATCTATGTCCAATCATAATTTTTTTAAAATACAATAATGCGATGGAGGGAGTAAAAAACATATGGGAGAATATTTAAATAAGATGGAGAGAAAAGAGATTGAATGTAGCAATTATTTACGAATTACAAACCCAATAATTAGCTAAAATAATTAGACTCCGTCCATGGCTCCATGCCTATTTATTTGTCCTCAAACCTTAATTTTTTTAAAAAAATTAATTGAAACCTTAATTTTTTTAAAAAAATTATACTAGTACATCTATCCAATTATACTCTTATTAAATATTTTATTTAAATATCTAATAATGACAGCTAATATTAATTAACTTTTTTAATGGAATAATAAATAAAGAGTATAATGAAAAAAATAATTATAGAGACCGCACAATTTCTTATCTTGAGAAAATATCCTATATTAAGAATCAAAAGAAATACTCCTTTCATTTAAAAATATAAGATATTTTTAATTGAATTTTATTCTTTAATAAAATAATTATTTGTCTTCAAAATAACACCAGCTTTTCATATTTATCAAGTGTTTCTAAAATAAATATAATGTAATTTAGTCATTAGGGATACTTTTGGAAACAAATGCGATGATTATACCCTAAAACATTAAAAGTTTATATTTTTTAACATCTAACCCCCTTAATAATATCTTATTGGAAATATTTTTTTGTAAAATATTATTGGAAACCAGTAATAA